CACTTCAAATACCTATTGATTAAAAGTGAAGCATGTTTGACATTTGGACTTCATTATTTTACTCAGTTTCGTAATCTCTGTATGAATTAGCATTATTAGTATTCTGATTTTAGTGATAGGGAATATAAATTTACAATAGTGGCCTAACCTGTGAAGGCCTACAGTAGGTAGAATCTAGGGAAGCTCACAGTTTGCTCTTTCAGAGTTATTTGCATTTAACCAGTCTTTGTAATTTCTTTTCAATAAGCTGTGATGGATGGATGATGACTATTTTTTTATTGGTTTGTTTACAAAGTTCATATACATTTTTTTCTACTCTATTCTTCATTTACATTGTGTTTTATACAATTATGTATATTTTATAAAATTAATCACCATTCGTTGATCAGTTTTATAGTTACAAAAAATTTGCAAAGAGAAGATGGACAGTTCCCATTAACCTCAATCTCAGTCCCTCATTATTAACATCTTCTTTCTAGAGTCCCACATTACATTTATTTTCCACCTTTCTTTTAATTCCCCTGACTCTGATAGATTATCTGATTTTCCTTGTTTTGGGTAACCATATCATGTATTAGAAGTACTCGCCTAGCCTGTTGTAAAATTTCTTTGAATTGTCACTTGCCTATTCTTATTGTCATGATTGGAATTGTGACTTTATGAAAGGAAGACCATGGGGGAAATGTCATTTTAAAAAATTACCTCAACATGACTTGTTCCTCTTGATGTTGATTTGTGCGCCCTTGGTGACCTCGTGTTTATCTGGCTCTCTCCATTTTATAGCTGCCCTTTATCCACATTTCCACATTGTTCTGTATGTTAAGAAATTACTAAAGACCACATTAACAGAATAAAATGTTACAACCCATCTCTTTGAGAGTAGATAATTTATATGAATTATTGACATAGCTTTAAAAAGATTTCTCTCATCATTTATGTATTTAATCATTTATTTATGGGAGCATAGTTTCATGGACATTTACTTTATACTTTGGTTATGATCCAATACTACTTGATCTTTTTGCTCAGAAGGTTTCAGTTTGTATATTGAGAGTTCTTTCAGTTGTCTGCTATGTTCATTAACATAGCTCCATTATTATCTTTTATATTTAAATTTTATTCTCATTTATTTACAACGTTTGAATATATTGTTTTTAACAAAAGATCCTTCTCATTTCCTTCAACCAACCTACACATCAAATCATGTAACCTTCTGATTAACATCCTACACTCCCTCCATCCTCACCCCTCCACCCTCCCGACTGCTTTGTATCCTCAGACTCATTCTACAGTAATGGTTTTATACAGTATTTGTCCTTGTGGGATTGAGTTAGGTTCACTCAGCATAATACACTTCAGTCCCTCCCAAGTTAGGATTGCTCCTGCATGATGCGTAGTGTTCCATTATGTGAATGAACCACAACTTTTCAATCCATTCCATTGTGGTTGGACATCTGGGCTGTTTCCATGTTCTTGTGATGGTGAATAATGCTGCTGTGAACATTGGTGGACAAATTTCTGTTTGAGCATCAGATCTCATTTCTTGGGATATATTTCAAGCAATTGAATAGCCGAGTCCTATGGAATTTCTATGTTGAGGTTTTTAAGAAAGAACCAAACTGCCTTCCAGATCGGTTGTACCATTGTACAATCCCACCAACAATGTAAAACAGTTCCTATCTCACCAAATCTTCTCCAAGACTTATTAATTGCTGTGATTATGGTGATTTTTATATCTTGCATTACACAACACTCCAACTTTTCCTCTATATGTTGTATGTATGCTACCTCAATTTTAAATCAGATATTTCTCCAACGAGTCCTAGTTATTTCTTTGGAGAATACTATTGGTTTTGCTCTTGTTAGACACGATTGAGTAGACCATGACTCATAATGACACTGCGGACACCACATCTGAAATTGCTCTGCCCTCTGCCGTCCTCACAATTTCGGGTATGCTGAAACCCATTGTCAAAGTCACTACGTCAATCCAACTTGCTGGTGGTCTTCCTCTTTTTCTGTGGCACTACACCTTTCCCAGTAAGATGTCCTTGTCCAAGGACTGACCCCTCCTAACAATATGCTGGAAGTACATGAGATGAAATGGCACCATCCGGTCTCTAAGGTCATTACTATTCTTACATGTTCTCAGGTCAAAAGTTACTCATCGTTTATGTTCCTGCAGGTTGTCACAGGGAGGAGATTCCCCATCCTTTACCTGTAGAACCATTGGTGAATGTCTTTAGTTTGACAGCTCATCTTACCATAAGGGCACCCACATTGATGAGAATAGGAATACTTTTAGAGCATAAAACAAAGAAAATGGTTTTTTTCTACTTTGATAATTCCACTTTCTTTTTCTGGGCCTTTTGAGGACTACAACTAGGGACTGTAAGGTTGTCCACATTAAGGAAGTTGTGACTCCATTACTTCCTTTCTAAATCTTATAAAAACAAATCCACAGTCAATTTAACTAGTCCAACTCATAATGGTGTTCTGTCTTATTTCCAAGATTAGTACAGGAAGAGACTGCCCATAAATCTCCCACAGTCTAGCTGGTGCTTTTTTTATTATTATTATTTCTAATCATTTATTGTTGCTCTTTTTTCTCTGCCCATCCCTCCCCTCCAGATCATCCCTCTCTTTAAAAAAATAAAAGAAAAATTCTTTTGTTGTTATACAATCCCTCTCCCCTAGTCCATTCCACTATGCAGTCTTCGTTCTAGATTCCTGTCATGACAATAATACCTAATCATATATCCCTTTTAAATAGTTCACTCCCTCATCTGTTTCAATGCAGTATACGTAATTTATCCCATCTTTCTCAGTCTCCCCCCAGTCCCGAGGTCAGTCCTGTTTTACAACCGTGGCACTATGCAGTATTCGTCCTTTTGTGACTGAGATATTTCACTCAGTATAATGTCCTCCAGTGTGATCCATTTTGAATAATATTGCATGAGTTCCTTGTTTTCCAATGCAGCATAGTATTCCATTGTGTGAATATACCACAGCTTGTCTACACATTCGTTTGTTGATGGGCACTTAGTTTGTTTCCAACTCCTTGCTATTGTGAACAAAGCCATGATAAACATGGGTGTGCATATATCTGCTTGGGTGGTAGTTATGGTTTCTTTATGGTATATTCCAAGTAGCGGAATTGCTGGGCCAAATGGTATTTCTATTTGCAACTTTTTGAGAAAGCGTCATACTGCCTTCCATAGTGGTAGCACCATTTTACACACCCACCAACAGTGAATAAGGGTTCCAATTTCTCCACAACCTCGCCAGCATTTGATGTTTGCTGTTTTGTTAAATTTCGCAATTCTTACTGGGGTGAGATGATATCTCATCGTTGTCTTGTGCTTTTAAAGTGATACTCTTTTACGTTAGTAGCCTGGCAGATGCAATACATTATCAGGTCTCCTTCTGTATCTTAGATTGCTCTTAATAATCTCCTTCCCTACATGTTTCTCTATGTTATTCCAATCTCCTTCTCTGTAGATTGACTCTGCCTTTCTATGTGCACATGGAACTTTGGTAGCCTAGTGGTAAGGAATTGCACTACCAACCCAAAGACAGACCGTTTAAAACCACTATAATTTCTGAAGGATAAAAATGATCAATTTCCTTCTGTATGATTCACAGCCTCTGAAAGCCTGCTGGAGAATAAGATTTTTTAATTCATGCATTGTTTTACATTTTACACTCTCACCTTCCCTTCCCCCACTGCAAGTCAATGTTTTCATTCTAGTTGATGTACAAAATTCAAATACATTGTTTTCGAGAACAGAATCTTCCAATTTCCCTCACCACCCCTCACCCCACCAAATTGTACAGCTCCATGATGAATGCTCCCTTTCCGTGCACATCCACATCCCTCTGCTTCCAGCCTCTCCTGCCCCTCCTGGATCCTCAGTATTTGTCCTTATGGGGCTGAGTTCATTCAGCATAATGCTCTCCAGTCCCTCCCAAGTTAGGTAATAATTTACAAAATCGTTGTCCTGCATGCTGCATAGTATTCCATTGTGTGAATGTACCATAATTTCTCAATACATTTATTAGTCGTTAGACCTTATTTGTGCATTTCAATGTTCTTGCAATGGTGACTAATGCTGCTCTTAACATTGGTGTACAAATCTCCATTTGTGCCTCCGTTCTCATGTTCTCGGGGTATATTACAAGCAATGGAATAGCTAGGTCATATGGAATTTCTATGTTCTGTTTTTTGAGGAATCTCCAAACTGTCTTCCAGAATGGTTGTACCATTTTACAGTCCCACTCACAATCTGTGAGAGATTCTTTCTCCCCACATTCTTAGATGTAATTCTTATGGAAAACAGTAGTCTTTGATCTTCTTGCAGTAAGTGATTCAAGACTTCTTCATATTCTATTTTAAAGGTTGCATAATTTGTATTATACAGGGTCTTAATGAGTTTTCTCCCAAATCTGATCCCATATTCTTATTTATACTGTTCAGCTTCTTGAATGATTTGTTCAGCTTACAGAATGATACAAAGAATATTTTGCTCACTTTAAAACTAATTCTACATTATTATATTTTAAAACAGTGAGCCTGATAAATAATTTTATTTATATCCGATCTTTTGACTTCAGCACCACCATTATACATTCATTGTACTAAGGGAAATAATTTTTTCAATTACTTTTCACTGCTCTTCCCAGTGCCTTTAAAAAAATAGCATAAAGTAATTCTTAAAATAATTATTTTAATAAGCATAACAAAATCTCAAGAGGTTTGTACAGAAATAGATGGCCTTCTGAAAAAGTTGAGATTAGAAGTAAGAAAGTTAGTTTCTGGGGCAAGGAGAAGGTACAGCAGTTTGCAATCCATAAAATTCCCAGTTAAAAAGCTCTAGATTTAGACAACATGCAAGAATTAGTTAAAAATTACTTTTAATATAAACAACTGCCTGTTAGGTTGTTCAGTGCTTGTGGCTCAGTTTGTGTTGCTCCTTTCTCTTTTCCAGTGGTTTCAGCAGCTACATGGAACCGGAAAATCAAACACAAGTTTTGGAATTTATTCTTCTGGGGCTCTCAGAAGAGACAGACCTGCAGCCCCTCTTCTTCGGGCTGTTCCTGTCCATGTACCTGGTCACCTTCACTGGGAACCTGCTTATCATCTTGGCCACCATCACGGACTCCCACCTCCACACGCCCATGTACTTCTTTCTGTCCAACCTCTCTTTTTCAGACATCTGTTTCACTTCCACCACAGTCCCAAAGATGCTTCTGAACATCCAGATGCAGAACAAAGTTATTACTTATGAAGGCTGCATTACTCAGATGTATTTTTTCATTCTTTTTGGAGACTTAGACATTTCCCTGTTGACAGTGATGGCCTATGACCGGTTTGTGGCTATCTGCCATCCCCTACGCTACACAGTCATCATGAACCCCAAGGTGTGTGGCCTCCTACTTCTGGTATCCTGGTTACTGAGTTTTCTGGAATCTCTCTTACACTGCTTACTGGTTTTGCGGTTGTCTTTCTGCACAGACCTGGAAATTCCCCACTTTTTCTGTGAACTTAGTCAGGTAATCCAAGTGGCTTGCTCTGACACTTCCCTCAATGACTTGGTTCTGTGTTTTGCATCAGGACTTTTGGGTGTTATTCCACTCACTGGGATCCTTTTCTCTTACACTAAGATAGTTTCCTCTATTTTGAGAATTTCATCAGCTGGGAGCAAGTATAAAGCCTTTTCCACATGTGGATCTCACATCTCAGTGGTTTCCTTGTTCTATTGTACAATTCTTGGGATTTATTTCAGTCCTTCTGTTTCCCAAAACTCTAGGGCCAGTGCAATAGCATCAGTGATGTACACTGTGGTCACTCCCATGCTGAACCCCTTTATCTACAGTCTCAGAAACAAGGATATAAAACAGGCCATAAAAAGACTTTTCAACCAAGAACAAAATTTTGCATAATAGTATCATTTTGAAGCTCCGCATCAAGAAGACAAAGATTCTTACCACTGGCCCAATTGGCACCACCATGTTATATGGAGATGAGATTGAGGTTGTTAACAATTACAGCTTGCTCAGCTCCACAAACAACACTCTTGGCACCAACAGTGAGGAAATCAAAAGACAAATTGTAGTGGAAAAATGTGTTGTCAGGAACCTCTCCAGAGTACTGAAAAGCAGAGAGAGACTAAAGTGTGCTTAATCCAGGCCATGGTCTTCAAAATTACTTACTATGCATCAGAGAGTTGTACAATGACTAAGGATGACAGAAGAAGAATCGATGCCTTCAAACTGCAGTGCTGGAGAAGAGTTTTGAACATACCATTGACTGCAAAGAAAACAAATAGGTCTATCTTGGAGAGGATGAAACCAAGTTTTTCCTTGGACAATGGGATTTTGAAGCTCCATCACACATACTTTGGCCAGCAGGGACTGATCCTTAGAGAAGGTCATCATGCTCTGAAGGCCAGAGGGACAGCACAGGGGAGGAGGACCCAGGTGTCATAGAAAAATACAATAACTAGGGTAATGGGGACTGATGTGTGTCAGGATCAGTGACACTGTCTGAAGACAGGGCAGACTTCAGAGATGCTGTATATAGGATCACTATGAGTAGCAGTTGACTTGACAGCATATAACAACAACAACATGGTAGCCTAGTGGCAAGAAGTTGCACTGCAATCCCAAAAGCACGCAGTTTGAGGCCACCAGCAGCTTCTTGGAAGAAAGACGGCCAATCTCCACCTTTGCGATTAACTGTCTCTGGAAACCTGCCAGACGGTCAGCAATGGGTTGGCTCCAATTTGCCGGTACACAACAAGAGTAACATTATCACTTCTCTCAAATCAGAAAGTTATGAGTTATAGAGCTGAAGCATAATGAAGACCCTAAACATTAATTCAGAAGTTGATATTGTTTTCAGATTAATCTTCTTTGGTTTATATATTTTATGCAAAAATTGGAGATATTTTTATTTAATTTGTAAATGACAGCCAGTTTCTTTTCATCAGTTCTGATGACCTAGTGGTAAGGAGTTGTGCTGTCAACCTGAAGGCACGCAGTTCAAACCCACCAGCTGCTCTGTGAGAGAAAGATGGTCAATCTCCTCCTGTGGGATTTACTGCCTCTGAAAACCAGCTAGAGGGCCAACTATGAGTTGGTTCCAACTAGTGAATGCACACTAACCTCTGTGTTATTTCTTCAAACAGATATAATACTAAGTATTTTAAGCAAGAGGTTTGTAAGCTTGTGTTTATTAATTGGTGAGAAATGTCTTGTAATATGTCCTTGATGTATTGGGAATGATCTTTTGAAAAACACTGAAAAGTAGAGCAGCTGAGAACATTAATGCCTCTTCTATCATCAGGAAGATGAGGGAATCTAAAACTCCAGTGAGATTATTGACTCTAAGAATATGTTGCATTTCATTGTAGCAGGAATATTTTGTTATAATTGCTGACTCTAGTTTCACTGTGCTGCCACATACGTGCTACTTTTACAAAGGGCCGGAACATCACTTCTTGGCACACACGATGTTACTGACTGGGAAGTTTGAATTCAGAGATAAGAACATATTTGTTGCATCTTGTTGAAAGGGAAGAAGACTTGAAGGTTTATTGATGAAGATCAAGGACTATAGTCTTCAGTATGGATTTACTCCTCAACATAAAGAAAAAAGTCTTCACAGCTGAGACAACAAGCAACATCATAATAAATGCATAAATATTGACATTGTCAGGGACGTAATTTACTTGATTTAACATTGGACCATTGAAGATCATAATGTGGTAACTCTAGTGAGTTGATTTTCCCTATTCTGAAGGATTGCATTTGAAGTCTAAAGTGTGTTTTAGTAGTTTTTCTACAGACTTTTACAAATTTTCTTGAAGTTTGCATTCTTTATTATGAATAGAACCTAGCAATTCTATTCTTTTATCTGCTGTCAAGGTCATTGCTGTTAAGTGCCATCAAGTCACAGGCAACTCATAGTGATCCTATGAACGAAAGTCCTCGGCACTTGCATGTGTGACTTCCATCCTTTCTCCAGGTTCATAGGGTTTCCAGAACCAAGCTATTTATGGAAGTGGATGCCACTCCTGCTTCCAAGCTTGTTTCAACTGGGGAGCTCCACCAAACACTGTCCACCATGAGTAACCATTATTGCATTTGACACATCAGTGTCACAGTGTCAGCTTCACAGCAACCACAAGTTACCTCTGTACAGCAATTGGACACACCAGGGCCATACGACCTAAAGAATGTTTGAACAAAAACAATGAAAAACAGGCCTTAGGGCCATGGATTAGAGTCAACCACCTTTGGCTTGATAGCATTGCTTTCTGTCCACTAGGCCAACTGGTCTCTCTCTGTGTTGTTAAGTGTCGCCGGGTCATAGGTGACTCATAGCAACCCTATGAACAAAAGTCCTCGACACTTCGCCTGTGTGACTGTCATCCTTTCTCCAGGTTCATAGGGTTTCTGGAGGCAAGCTTCAAGGACCACTTCAAAATATTGACGAGAAAGTATATCCATTTAAAAACTAAGGTGCAGATAACTCAAGCCATGATCTTTTCAATTGCTTTATAAACAAGTGAAAGTTGGAACATGAACACACACACATACAAAATATAACAACCCCCAAAATGAAACCTATAGATACTGATCTTACAAAATACAGACTACAAGGGACATAAAATTACAAAACACTAATACTAAATATAGAACAAAAATGAAGTTAATGGAGAGATACTCTGTGTTCATAAAACAAGAGTCTAAAATACTGTGAAGATGTCATTTTTTCCCAACTTGATCAAACATTTCATTCACTCCAAATAAAAATCCAAGACAGCTATTTTATAAATGTTAACAAAATGACTCTGAAGGTTTTGTAAAAAGACAAAATATTAAAGCAGTCAAGAAATTACTGATGTAGAACAACAAAATACAAGGACTCATTACTTGACTTCAAGAGAAAATGAAAGTAACGAACAATGCATGGATAGTGAAGAATAGATACACAGGTCATAGGAAAGAGGAGAGAGCCCAGAAAAAGATCCATATAGATAGTAAGCAAATCTTTTATTAAAAGGTGGGACAAGAACACCTAAAAACGACTAATCAGGGAAAAACATACTTTTCAAACTCTTTGACAAATGAAGTTGCAACAATTAGTGTTTCTATAAAACAAATTAACCTCAAATCAGATCATTCACTTTTTTTAGATCATTCACTTTTAACAAAAAGTAACATAAATCACATCGGAGGCCTAAATATAAAGTTAAAAATAACAAAATTTCTAGGAGAAAACAGAACTGTAGTATAAATGAAAAATATTGGAAACATCATAAATTGTCAAAAGAAGCAGCAAATCTATGTTGGAAGAGGAAGTTCAGGCAGGGTGCTCCTTAGAAGCAAGGATGATGAGGCTTCATATCCTATACTTTAGACATGTTTTGGGGAGGGGCCAGTCCATGGAAAGAAGACATCCTGGAAAATTGAGAGCAAGAATGGGACGGAAATATCTTGGTTGTTGTTGAGTAAAATAGGGTCAGAACTGACCCAGAGTTGACACTCCAATAGTTTTCAGAAACAATTCATCACACAGGAATAGATTGCCCATCTCTCTGCCACAGAGCAGCTGGTGGCCTCCAACTGCATGCCTCAAACTGGATTTCAGCGCAGCTTCTTACAGTAGGACACAAGAGATCCTTAGGCGGTCAACTGACAAAGTGACTGTAACAATGGCCATAAGTACGGCAGAGGTGGTAAAGATAGCACAGGATTGGGCAGGTTTTGTTCTTCTGTGCATAGTCGCAATGACTCAAAATTGACACGACACATAGGAACAACAGCACACAGGTTAAAAGGAGAAGAGATCATTAGAAGAAAGTTGTACATTGTTCCTGCCAAAATCTGCCACACTCATGGGCTGCTGTTTTCACAACTGTTGGCACAGAATGCCTGGAAAGGTGCTAAGCAAGTGTATGTTAAAATGTCAAAACACTCTATCATGTTTCATCAAGTCTCCTGTGACTCATAGCTACCCTGTGCACAATAGCTCTGAACCCGGCCCTATCCTGAGCCAGTCTCATTGTCTCCAACACACATACCCCCATTATCCCAGTTACTGTGTCTATCCATCTCATCTGGGGTTTTCCTTTCCTGTGTAATGCCTCCACCCTTCTAAACATGATGTCCTCCTTCTGGGACTTGTCCTTCCTGGTCACTTGTCCAAAATATGCAGAAAGTGTAAATAAAATAAAATATCTCTTTTACTATGTCAGCTCTACTATATTAATCTCAGGAAATTATTAAACATGGGTATGTCTTCATCAATCAACAACCTCAGTCAACTCAGTGTCTTTTCTGATAATATCTGGGTAAGCCACTGCATCTTCAGTGTTTCTGGAGTTCATGATACGATGTATGACATATATTATATTGCTAAAAATTTGTGGAGGAACGAGAGAGACAGTGAAACAAAGCCCTGTGTAGAAAAGTCCCTAATTCTAGAGGGAGGTCCTGGAAACCCTAAAATGTTTCTCTTCCTCTGCTCTACCTTGTCCGTGTTGGCTTAAATCACAGGACTCCTTCTACCAATAAGTCTTTCTCATTTCTACAATAATTCATATGGTTGGCTAATTAAAAATTGTCAATTACAGTCTATTTCTGCTCAATAATACCTAGGATTTTGATCCTTATGCATTTCACTTTGTTTTTTACAATCCCAGTGATTCATATCACATACATTCCACATTCCAATTCTTAATAGAACTTGGCAACTGTTTCTCTTCCTTTGTAAGCTTGGAAGATGAGAAAAAGGAAGACTCTGCTTTGGGAGAAAGTCTCATTCGATCTGTATCATTGAAGTAATCTGTATTTGAGAAAGCAAATCATCACCAGTTAAATACTGAGTGCCTTCTAAGCTGAGAAATGCATCTTCTGGCACTACAGAAAGCACG